CTCTTTCCTTAACCAATTCAATATCTCATGTTAGTATGCCTTCTGATACTGCCAAAGCTAGAAGACTGAAAAGGATGTTTTCCGGATTTCTTTATAATGAAGTTTTCATATATGACAACATTGATGCTGCTGTTAGTTGCCATCAGTTCAGGCTGACTCAAGGTGATTCCGTGAGCAACAGAATGAAACTCAGATATTTGGATTTTTATTTTTATGTACAGATTTTTGGAAGTAGATCTCCAGGAACTTCTTAGTCTATCTTAGTTTGGAAGTTCTGCTGAAATCCATTCAACATCATAACAAGCTCTCACTGACAGATGGATGGTGTATATGCATAAGGTAATGGGACCGAGGCCTCCTACATGGAAAGTTCAAACTCTCCCATTAAACTATCAATGACATACTTAGTACCCACAAGTTGAATACACTAACTCAAGACTTTATGTAGGAAAAAAAATACGTAGAAAGAAGATCAGGTAACAAACTATTTTTAAGTGGTGTGGACCATGGCAAAATATAGATTTTCTGGAGTTTACAACTTCTTGATGGTGGCAGAAACTTTCCTGATAAATAATTTCTTCAGTTTTGTGAGTGGTGCAGGGAGAAATATGTCTAAGGTCTATAAATCTAGTCTATAAAATAGCTATGATCATAAATAACTGTCTTTTAGTCTTATATTTAAATAATATCATTCTTTAAATAGAAATAGAATAATCAAGAAGTCATACTTCAATATCAGCTAGTTTAAGATATCTATCTAGATTAACATTCATCCAATTCCTCTTTCAGGAATTATGAGATGCTCCATTCAAGTTTATTCTATATGTTTTATAGCTTAGCTCCAATGTGGGGTTGTGAATTTTCACTATAGAGTTTTACAGTTGATTCAAAAACCAAAACACTATTTCTAATCTATTTCCTACTGGAATTTTTAAAATGATTTATTTCCAAGTTATTGGAACACAATCATTCTGTGTAAAGAAGATTTTCTGATGCCAAGAACAACAGGAAAAATGGCCTTAGGCAAATTCCAAGAGCAGCTTGTTGTTTTTTTCCTAGATGGAATATCCCAAGGCAATGTAGATTTGTCTTCTAAGATAATTGCTTTCCCTCCACTGTTTCATTGCCTCTGTCTTCACTTTTTAGTTAAACTGAGGAAACAAGAAAACGAGTCATCAGGGAAAAAAAAGAGTTCGGCACCTTTGTCAATTTTTGCTTTCTTGCCCATTGAGTTTAATTTTCTTCAGTTAATTTAACTAAAGTTTTCTGACACCATCCAGTCTGGTGTTGGTGACAATTACAAGAAAATAAAAGAGCTGCTACATATGCTCATATCTCATATCAACACCTCTCTGTGTCTTTGTCTACATATCTCCCACTCTGCATCTATCTACTGCTGTTTGTTTCTCTCTGTTCATCTGCCTCATTCTCTGCCCTCTCTTGTCTCTATTTCTCTCTGTATAAACCAAGTTGTATTGTGTAGATGATTCACACATTTTAGTTTTCCTTACACATCTAAATTTAAACTAATTCAAATAGTGTCTTGGGATTGCTAAAACAACACACACGTTAAAGAAATTACCAATATCAAGTTCTTTTCCACTTAAAAATTATTTTCACCACGTGCCAAAACCCAGCAGAGGGCATCCTTCCATTTCAGATGTACTAATACTGCAGAGAAAACGCCTACAATTCCAGCAATGCATTGGAATTTAGATCAGAAGACTACTGTAGTGGAATGGGAAATTGTTTCTTCATTCATTCTGGAATATTTGCCTTCCTTTTGAATTATAGACTTGCACTAATTCTCTTATCAGAAAATGAAGGAAAAATATCTCTGTCTCTAGTCTCTCGCCAAGTTTGGAACATTAGCTTCAAGTTGCAGCTCTCCCAAACTACCATAAGGACTCCTGATGGGCACTGTAGGATAAGAACTATACAGCTAACCACAAGGTTGGTTGTTCAAACCTACCAGCTGCTCCTCAGAAACCCTATACAGGCTTGCTATGAGTTTGAACTGACTCAACAACACTTAGCAACAGTAAAGCTACCATAAAGTAGCCCTGGTAACGGAATGGATTACAAACTGGGCTGCTAATCGCAAGGTCAGTAGTTTGAGTATACCAGTGGCTCTGCTGGAGAAAGATGAGGCTTTCTGCTCCCATAAAGATTTATAGCCTCCAGAATCCTATACAGAGTCTCCATGAGTCAGAAATGACTCCACAGCCTACAACCACCACCACCACCACCAAGCTACCATATGTGTGAAGACAGAGCTCACAGAGAAACAACTGAGAAAGAAACTTGTTCCCCACCAAGTTTTACACTCTCCTTCTAGTCCTCGAATTTGGGGAGAGAAAAGGTGAGGGAAGGCAGGAAAACACTGCAGCCTGTTCGTTTTTCTCAGAAGTAGAAAAGAGATCATCAGATTAACATCACGATGGAAACAGGAATGGTCAAGAGCAGTATAAGTGAAGCCAAACTTGTTTCTGTGCAAGCAGATAGTTTTCTACTTAAGTTGACTATGCAGTTTCACTGAAATGGAAATTCCACAATGAAAAATTATTGTGCATTGTCAGAAGAATATTTCCCAGGTTAAAATGCAAATGCCTTCACCCTTATCAGTTATTTACTCACAGTTCTGGATGAGTTCATTGGATTTTTTTTTTTTTTTAAGAAAGATTGATTTATAGAGAAAATGAGGAAGGACAAGGAGGCCATATTCATAGAACATAATTCATATTCATTGGCATTGACATTGTGCCAAGCCATGTTCTAGGTGCTTAGTGAGCAACAAGCCAAACATACCTTTACTTTAGAGAACATGCTAAAAAACAAGGATTTGGATTGTCATTCAGATCTGAGTTTGGGCCCTGGCTCTTACCACTTGACGCTGAACAGGGCAATTCATGCTTTCACTTGCAAAACAGGGATAACAATTATCAATATTTGTTGACAACACACTTTGTTCCTGAAACCTTTTTCATGAAATTCTCAAAATCAGACAAATATTATTCTCACTTTACAAATAAAGAAATCTAGGTACAGACGATTTCTAAATTGCCCAGAACTGCATGGTATAAGGAATTTTAAGCAAAAGTATCTTACTCCACTATGCCATACGAAAAAGCTATTTTCTAAAGCTATCCTATGGATTAGATGAGCTAGCTCATATAAAACTGAGAGTACAATATATTATTATTATTACTATTATTATTAATCTGTATTAGGCTCATAAGGCTGCTATAACAACATTCCACAAAGTGAGGCACTTATAAGAACAGAAATGTGTTGTCTTCTATTTCTGGAGGCTACTAATCGGAACTCAAGGAGCTCTGGTAGCATAGTGGTTACAAAGGGGCTGTTAACCCCAGGGTCAGGAACAGCACCACCAGTCAACCCCACCATCCTCAGAAATCTTATTCAGGGTAGCTGTGAGTTGGACCTGACTCAACGGCGCTTAACAAAAACAATAGGTGTTAGGAATTCAACATATCTTTTTGGGCAGTGGTGGTGGTTATGTACCATGGAGTCGCAACCAACTGTACAGGGTTTCCGAGGCTGTAAATCTTTAAGGGAGCAGAAAGCCTCAAAATTTTCCCATTAAACAGCTGGTATTTTGGAATTGCTGACCTTAAGGTTCGCAGCCACTACGCTACCGGAGCCCCATTCAATTAATAGAATTATTGTCATGTAGTTAAGTGCTGTCAAACTGGTTCCACCCCATAAAGACCCTATGTAAGGTTTCCAAGTTGTGACTGGTGAACTTGAACCATAACCTTGAGGTTCAAACTGCAAGGTCAGCTGTCCAGTGCATTAACCCACAGTGCCACATCAGGCCTCTACTATTTATTATTACTGCCACTGTTATACTTTTCTAGGACTCAACATAAGCATGTTGAGATATATTGAAATAAACCTCAGATAAAATCCTCTACTTCAGAATTTGAGCTGTGCCTAGCTTGGATTATAAGTGAGATTGCATACCATCATCACAATTGAATCATGGCTTCTCTGCATTTACTTTCCATACATGACAGTCTACCTCTATTGTCATGGCTCCAGGGAGGATAGCAGAACACAAGTTCCCTATAACCATACCTGAGCATCCCCTGCTCTGAATTTTCCACACCTCCCTTGAAAGCTGAAGGTTATGATCAGATGCTACACGAAATCAAGATTCAAGAATCTGTCTTCAGTATGACAGTCCTTTGTTCTGTGATATTTGACCATGCAATTAGGCTACCCCTCAATCATGGTGTCCCTTGGCTCTAGCTCTAAACCTTTTGTAAGCACACTCTCCAGGGTTCTCTCCCTGGATATTGAGTATGTTCATAATCCAATGGGGTTAATTATGCTAGCAGTGTTAGTCAAAGAGAAAGGAAGCAGATATGTTTTGCTCCAACACTGGGAGTTCTCTCTGTTTACTGCTAGCCTGCATTTTTGTCTCCTACGGCAGCATTACCAAGATCAGAATAATTTTAAACAACAAGCAGATAAAATCCTGGCTTCAGGCCCTCATTTTCTTATTGATTTCATTTCAAGACTGTCATCTTAGGTTCATTAGGTAGGAAACTGAGTGTTGGATAATAGGATGCAAGAGAATTCACAAATGGATATCTTATAAAAATTTTGTTTTCCTTGCCAGCACTAAAAAAAAAAATAAATAGTTTTTATCCCACAAGCCAAGCTTCAAAATAGAAAAATCAAGCAAATAAAAAACAAACAAACAAAAAAACCTGTAAAGATGTACTCATTTCCAAAAGGCAATTTCATGCTGACTTTATCTCATGGTGCTTTTGTATGGATGAGCACTGGTGTAGCGTATTGTTTGGGACAAAAGTTATGTGTAGCAATCAGTCACTTTAGTCTGAGTGTCCAAAAAATAATAAATGTCCTTCTATTTATGTTGCAGACTACCTTTATATTAGTTTATTGATTTCTATAAACAGTGTTTTAGGTTCAATGAAAAAGCAGATTTTCTTTAGCAGAGTACTTACCCCAAGATAATGGCCATCGATGAACACAACAGGGAGGGATGGTGTTTCAGAAACACGTCGGCATCGTTCATCTAACTCTTTTCCATAGTCACCATTCAGAGCTATGTTCTTCTCTTCAAATTTTACTCGATGGTTTTGGAAAATCTTTCTAACCAGTTCACATCTTTCAAACGTTGTCCGCACAACACGAAGGCACGTGGTATAGATCACTACGCGGTCAAATTCCAGCTCAGTGGAAGGTTGCTAAAGGAAAATATTACAGTGTAAATATCCTTGCCTTTATTGCTAACACCCTGTTATTTTAAGACAATTAACAAGTTTAATTACTGTCTGTCAGCTTGCATGTTTCTGTGCCATGAGTATTTAAAATACCAGCAGGGTACACACATGGCAGGTAGGCTTCAGCTGAACTTCCAGACTAAGACAGACTTGGAAGGAGAAGCAGAGAATTTCTCAAAGTTTCGCCACTGAGAACCTTATGAATAGCAGTGTAACGCTGTCAGATAGCACCAGAACACTGAATATTGAAGCATGACAAATAGTACCAGAATACTGACTCCAGGTATGATGCTGGATGTTGTAGTCCAGCAGCACATTAGCTGGGTCAATGCACAAGATATGCACTCTACAATTCTAGGGAGTGTCATTGGCAACATTGTCTAAATAAATTTTGCCCCTAGGTTTTCTCTATAACTTGGGTTATCAAATACCCTTATCTAGGGACTGAGATGGGATGTGGGGCAAATCTGTCATAGGGAGATACTGGTGATATATTAGAATAGGAGTCCTGGTGTGGCACTCTAGGATAAGCATTGGACTGCTTTCCACCAGCTGTTATTTGGAAACCCTATACAGGGTCACTATGAGTAAGAACCGACTTGTTGTTGTTGTTGTTCAGTGCCGTCAAGTTGGTTCTGACCCATAGCGACCCTGTATAGGGTTTCTAAGGAGTATCTGGTGAGTTTGAACTATCCAACTTGAGGCTCAAACCAATCTTGAGGTCGAGTACATATCCTATGGCACCACACCAGGATTCCAGGAACTGACGAGACAGCACTTAACAACAGCAACAACACTAAATCAATATTATTAAAAAGATCTTACCACACAATTTTGATATGATTTGGAAGTTGTTGTTGTTGTTATATGCCACCAAGTCAGTTCTGACTCACAGCTAGCCTGAAGTAGATCTTCTGAAAAGCAGAGCTTTGATTTCTCATGGTTATCAATTTTATTATGTAAAATTTTAGATGTTACTGTTTTAAAAATATAGATCTTCTACATTTCTTGGACTTTTTTTTTTCTTTCTTCCTCAACAGATTTATCAAAGCATCTGGCAAAATCTAAAAATAACCTCTCAATGGTTAACTGTCCCTCAGTTCCCTTCCTGAGGGTTACCATGGGAATAGTGTAATGAAGGCAGGAAGGATCCCAGACAGCTCTGAATTGGGAATTGCAGCCTGCTTGCTCAGAGAGAGCTGACCTAGATACTAATAAAACCTGGTAGTTTCTTCCTTTCTGTTGATTAAAAGGATAAATCTTTGGGATGTCCTGAAGACTCACAGCAGTCTGTAGAAACAAAGACACGTTGGAAAAGATGCATAGAAGTTGCAGAAAAAGAGACTCAACAAAACAAAAGGTTGCAGTCAAGTTGATTCCAACTAATGGTCCACCCCACATGTTGCAGAGTAAAGCTGTGTTCCATAGAGGGGTTTTTTTGGGGTTTTTTTGTTTTTTTTGGCTTCTGTCTTTAGTGTAGCATATGACAGAACTACCAACTCTACATGATTTATCGATGTTGTTGTTGTGTGCTGTCAAATCAATTCTGACTCATAGCAACCCTCTACAGAGTTTCCAAGTGTGGCTCAGTTGGTGGTCCGGTGCTTATCCTACAGCACCACACGAGGGCACTGATTAATTGTTGAGCTCAAGCCATTCGTACTGTTTGTTACTGTTGTTAAGTGACATCAAGTCTGCTCCAATTCACAGGGACTCTAACAGGGTTTCTGAGGAGTGGTTCATGGATTTGAACCGCCAACCTTGTGGTTCAAGCCGATCTTGTGATTGAGGGCTTTATCTTATAGCACCATGCTAGGATGCCAAAAGCCTTCTACTGTTTAGGAACCTTAAAAGAGACTAAGGGGAATTGAGTATTCTTACCCTGCCTCTTATCATGCAATGTTGTTGTTGTTAGGTGTTGTCCAGTCACCTCCAACCTTATGCAAAACAGAAAAAACACTGCCCATTCCTGTGCCCTCCTCACAATTGTTGTTATATTTGATCTCATTGCTGCTGTCACTGTGTCATCTTGTTGGGTGTCCTCTTCATTTTTGCTGAACCTTTAGTGATTCCTACAGATAACATGTTCAAAGTGTGAGAGACAAATTCTCACCATTCTGGCTTCTAAAGAGCATTCTGGCTGTAAGTCTTTGTTTGTTTTTCTGGCAATCCAAAGGACTTTTAATATTCTTCTACTGTCTTAATTATTCATTGTCCAACTTTCACATGAATATGTGGCTTCTAAAAATGCCATGAATTTGTTCAGGAGCACCTTAGTCCTCAAACTGACATCTTTGCTCTTGTATACTTTAAAGAGGTCTTGTGTAACAGATTTGCCTAATGCAATACTCTGCTTGATTTATTGACTGCTGCTTCCATGAGTGTTGTTTGTGAATCCAAGCAAAATGAAGTCTTTAGCAGTTTCATGTTTGCTCCATTTTTCATGATGTTATTTATTGGTCTAGTTGGGAGGATTTTTGTTTTCTTTACACTGAGATGCAATTCATAATGATGACTGTGACCTTTCTTTGATCTTTACCAGTAAGGATTTTAAGTCCTTTTGCTTTCAGCAAGCAAAGTCATGTCATCTGCATTTCGCAGACTATTAATGAGTTAATGAGTCTTACACCAATCCTGATACCACATTCTTCTTCATATAATCCAGTTTCACAAATTATTTTCTCAGCATACAGATTGAATATATAAGGCAAAAAGAAACAACCCTGGTGCAAATCTTTCCTAATTTTAAACCACTCAGTGTGTCCTTGTTCTGTTCAAACGATTGCCTTTTCCTGTATGTACAGGTTCCTCATAAGCACAATTAAGTGTTCTGTAATGGCTACTGGCTAATGTGCTGGACTACAAAGTTGGTTTGATTCACAAGGTCAGTGGTTCAAGCTCACCAGCTGCTCTTTGGAAAGGATCACTATGGGTCAGAATCAATTTGACGGCACTTAATAACAACAACAACAAATATCCATTATTCACAATGCTATCCTTATCTTGTTATGATCAAATTAGTGAAAAGCTTTCTCATAGTCAAGAAAGCACAAGTAAACATCTTACTGATATTCTCTGTTTTCATTCAAGATCTATATGACATCAACAATGAAATGTCATCCTCCTCTGAATCTGGCTTGAATTTTTGGCAGTTCCCTTTAAATGTACAGTTGTAGCCATTTTTTAATTATCTATAGCAAACATTTACTTGCATATGATATTAATGGTATTAATTGATGATTCCACATTCTGTTGGTTCACTACTCCTTGGAATTGGAATAAATATGGTCTTCTTTCAATCAGTTGTCCAGGTAGCTGCCTTCCAAATTTCTTAGCATTGATGAGTGAGCACTTCCAGTGGTTCTTCAGTTTGTTGAAAGATTTCAATTTGTATTTTGTCAATTACTGGAGCTGTGTTTTTTGCCAATAACTTCACTGCAGCTTGGATTTCTTCCTTCAGTCATAGTGCTTTATGATTTTATGCTACCTCTTGAAATGTTTAAGCATCAACCATTTCTTTTGGGTACAGTGGCTCTGTGTAATGCTTTATTCTGCAAAAGTCACAGTTATGATTATCATGGAACAATTCTAGAGATCCCACATTCACTGAAACTAGCCCTGTATTCAGACCAAGAATTAGTCCCTAGCCTAGCGTAGTGGTTACGAATCGGGCTGCAAGCCGCAAGGTCAGCAGTTTGAAACTACCAGCTGTTCCATGGAAGAAAGATGAGGCTTTCTGCTCCCATAAAGATTTACAGCCTCGGAAGCCCTGTACAGGGTCACTATGAGTCGGAACTGACTCCACAGCCCATAACAACAACAACTTTTTCTTAGAGGAGGCTAAACACTTCAGACTGGAGGGAAACTAAGGAATCATTTCCATTGATCTGTCCAGTCTGGCAATGATTTGAAAAGACCTTCTGAAATTGACCGACTTTTATCTCAATATGTCCCCAAATCAACAACAATCTAGAACCCTCCAGTCTATACTGAGCTTTGGGCTTTCAGCAAAAAAATTTTAAAAGTTAATAAAATGAACTTGCTTCTTTTTCCCCAGGGATGGGCAATTCATACCTTAGCACATAATTCTCACAACAACAGAGAAAATGAATGTCCTAGACAGGTGACAGAGTTAAAATTCAGCCAAAGCAAAAAACTGAAACCCAGGTAAGTACCCATCCAAAGTCCACGTGCTTTCCATTGAACAAAGGCAAACCACTGAGCCACTATTCTCCTGTAACCCCCTCCCGAGGATAAAGCTGTTACCAAAAGACAAATTGCTATAGAGCTAATACATTGTTTATAAGATAATCATTGTGATTTAAAGAGGTTTGTCTTTTGACTAAGTTCTGTTCCCATATTTAACAGTATGTTACATTACCCAAAAGGCATTTCACACAAGTGTTTTTGTTTTCTTTCTTTTTTTGTTTTCAGTCTTAAAGAATTCCAGTGAGATAGGCAAGGTGTAAAATTTGTTTCCTTTGTTAGCTGAAGTCAAAGAAGTGAAGAAATTACCTCAGAGTCTACAGCAAGTCAGAAGGCAACCAGACTAGACCAGATTTCTTTGTTATTAGGCATTAGGTCAACCTGACTCCAGGGATCATAATTTTAAATAGCAGATGCCTGTGGAAGAAGGGCTATGGGCCTTTGTAAACAGCAGGAAATTTAAAATATATCACTCTCTCTCACTCTCCATGCTACTCCTATAGTTCTATGCATACTTGGAGATGCCTTATAATTTTAAATTTATTTAAATAAATAAATAAACCCCAGGCATCCATGCTTTTAAATCACATCTTGAATCCTCATTCTTGTACTTAAAGTGATTTGAAACCCCACTTATCATCACTCCGGTTATCGCTCGTCTTATTTCCTGGATCTTTTTCCATTGTAACTATATTCCCTATTCATCTGTGAGGGTAGATGGTAACGTTCTACCCCACATTGCCCTTCCTCCTCTTGGC